GATTTTGCGTAAAGCCAAGTACTCTGACGACGAAAATCCGCTGTCACACGTGTGACAGCGGCCGAGCTCCATATAAAAAAAACGGTGTGAAAAAAGGAAGAAGAAATTGTTGCCTCCTAGATTTTGCCGGTACTCTGACTACGAAAATTATGGCTATCAAATTGAATGGCGTTGCCGTATTAAAAAAAGTAAGCAGCTGATCTCGGGGTGTAACAATAATTCATTTGATTTATTTTGACACCCAAAAAATGGAGCGAAAATTAAAAGAAAAAAATTGTCTGACCGAAAAATTTTCGGCCCGCGAGGATAAAGTCAAGCTAATTAGTGCGGTCAGGGCGAAGCCCATAATATGGGATTTGACCCACAAGGGGCATTTTAATGCTATAAAAAAATGAAATGATTTGTGATTGATTTTGACCCAGTTTTCTTTTTCTTAATCAGCTCCTTAGCGGCGAAATACATAAAGAAAACACCAAAATCCAATCGGTTTGAATTCATTTTGGGTTGTTTGTTTTTTGTTTACAAACAACAGCTGTTCAGTATTACCCTTTTTCTTAATTTTTTTGGTCACACTAGCTCGGTAGCCAAATAAAGAGCGATTTCGCTAGCACACGTGTTACAGCGGATTTTCGTCGTCACAGTACTAGGCTTAAGGTGGAAATCTGGTCAATAGGTCATGCCTAAACCCTGACTGGTAAGGTCCAACCAGTGCTTCAGCATGGGGTTTTAGTTTTTTGTTCCTTGGGTCCCCTCTGGCAGAAAATCTATGCATCTGCCACTCTCCTTGCTCTCACACTCTCGCTCTTCCTGTGCTAGCCTTTTCTCTAGCTGACACTCTCGCTAGCCGTCTCTTCTTCATGTCCTGTATACATCAACAACAGCCATCAACAACATACATCGCACCAGCTTGCTGTGTTTTTCTATAGACGGCGTCTTTTAAAGCTTTTGTGTCACAATACTCCTAATCGTAACATGGATTCCTTGATGGAGGCCGCTGGTATCTAATCGCTTCATTTGCTGTGGTTCGCAGGGAGTGAGATATGAGTGCCCACATATCGCTGATGTAGGAGACTTATGTGGGAGAATTTAGAGACTTGTGTGGCGAATGCATTCTTAGACGTGCAATCAGGTCTCAGGTCTGACAATGGTCGTCTGTTCCAAGTGCATTCTCTCAAATAATTGTCCTTTTTAGAAGGTATATACTAAATATGTTAGAATCCACGAAACATCACTCGTCAACAGTTGGTCAAACAATACCTTTTCGATCAAGTGACCATGACAGGGAATCGAAAAGTTCTAAAAAAAAAAATAAAATAAAATTAAAATGTTAGCAAAAAAAAAAATATAATAAAAAAATTAATAATAAAAACGAAGTATTCTGTTTTTATTGGCCTGACCCTACAAATTCTAATATCTTGTGTTCGTACTGGCGTATGTATTTTCGAATATATGAGTTTGTCATATATTCATAAGTTTGTCATAATGCGCATCGGCTTGCACTGTTTTACCAAATGAAACATTGCGCCTCGCCTTCCTCATAAAGAACAAGACATTCACCAGAAGGACGTGCCTATATCGAATCGGCTCTTGAGTCTGAATAAGAATATAGATACTTTATATGGTCGTAAATAATTCCTGTATCAGGCAGGCTTCGGTGTTAACGTGAATTTTGACAACCAAAATTTCCTGTGAATTGAACCGAGTTTCACACCTTTTTTGTTTTCGGCAAGACGTTTCCCAGTAGGTGTTATGAAATCGGTAGCACGTTACTGTTACTTTGTTTCAGAAAAAAATGGTTCACTTCAAAAAGTCGATTCAACAGCGGAGTCTGCCTGTATGTTAAGGATGTAGTCTCATGTTCCGGCCTACTTTTTACAGGTTATTTCAAAAAATTTGTTTTGTAATAAAAAATAATACGATCGTTTCAATTTTCACATATGTTTTTATAGGCATCATTAACTATTTGAAAATATTTTGCTTAATTTATTCTTGTGTAGTTTAATACACTTTATAGCATGCCAAAGTATGCATATAAAAAAAAAAGGTAGGTCCCTGGCGCAGGTGATTTCGACTGCTAGAGTCATCCGAAACAAAAAATTAGAATAGATTATTGTTTTGTAAGCTTATGGCTCTGTCCCGTACTAGAATAAAATATTTTAATCAATAAACAACAAAATGGCGAACACGCAAGAAAAAAAATTTTTTAAAATTTAAAAAATTTATCTTAAATTAATGATAAAAAAAAACTAATCATTAAATAAATGATTCTAGTACGGGACAGAGGTGTTACTTTTAAGAACAACATATCCAAATTTCAGCTAGATCGGTACCATAGAATTTTGTGAATCACCTGCGCCGCACACAAAAATGTCGTTCCGAGAAAAACGCGTTTAAAGTTTAGACGCTACCGAGAAACTCATACTTTTCGGTGTAGGCGTGCTCTCGATTATGGGCTGTATCTCTGTCATTATTTGATATTTTTATTTGAAACTTTAACAGTACATTCTTAATAAACAATACTATCGAAATATGTAATAAAAAGTATGTAACGCCTACAAAAATGATTATTCGGTAACAGTTTGGAAACAAACTTGATCAGCGCGGATACCATACGAGATCCACGTGCTCAAAAGTGGCTGCAGAAATTTGCAATTCATGGGGTTGGAAGGGGACGTGGAAGAATTGCAAACTATCTGGAACTGTGTGGCAATTATAAAACGGCCCCCAAAGTCTTCTTTATGTGGTCGGAGATAGGCGCAGTATTTATTATTTTGGAGTTGCTATAGTGCGACTGCTATATTAGTATTGTTCGAAGCAGAGAAGAAGCACAATAAAATTAACCTTAACCTTATGCGAAGGGCTAATCAACACATCCCATTGTTGTTCCGTTCGTTCATAATAGGTTCAGTTCCAACAGGTTAGATATACCAGATTTTTCGGTATATTGCATAATTGTATAATAGGCAGAAGTGAGTGAAAGTAAGACCAATGCGATTGCAAAACGAATTACTACTGGAAAAGCGTAGGTTTAAACAGGGGTTTATTGATAAAATTCATTACACAGTGTAAATAATGCATTTTGAATATTTCATCTATCTGTGAAATTATGATGCATTTTAAGCCTAGTACTCGAATCGACAAAAACAGTTTTTTAGCTATTAAAGTGAGCGAGAGGCAAAAAGTTGTAAACTCGTTTTTGAAAAGGTCTGTTCGCCACAGAGATTCCAAACCGCACCTAAGAACGTTTTATAGGTCCTTAACGAAAAGATACAAAATTTTAATGCCCCCTTTTACTTTAGTTTTTTTTGTTGGGATAATGTAGAAAATGAATCTATACTTTCCAAATATTTGACAAAGTCAAGCTGATGAATGCGATGAGCTATAAATGATAAATCTAATTGAATTAGTGGAAATTTTTGCTCGTCTTTCAGGTTGTTGGGACAATAAAATATTTTTATGCCAATTTCATATCTCCAAAAATAATTTTTAATCAATATTTTTACACCCAAATAGATTTAAAATCAACAAAGGACTTCATTGATACTACTTCTAGTTTTGTTTCAATTAGTTGTTTCCAACATTGTCAATTTTCAGGCTTTGAGAAAATGGGGAAGCTATGTATCCTCGGGCAAGAGTATAAGTTGATTAGCCCTTGCAGTTATGTGGCAGTTTTTATTACAAGGAATAGCATTACTTAAAAAATTTTCCCATCAATTGGGCCAAAATAGTACCCTTATTAAGCCCGATTCTAATTCTAACGGCCGTTCCGACTTATGCAACGAGAGAAGGATATTTATTAAATTTTATCTGTGAAATTATGACGTATTTTGAGCCTAGTATTCGTATATAGTATAATTGAAAAAGCGTTTTAAACAGGGTCTGTTCCCCACCAAGATGCTAACCATTTTTAGGTCCTAAAAAAGTTTTAAAGGTCCTTAACAAAAAGATAAAAATTGAAATTCCCCGTTTAACAATGTCTTACTTGCAAGACTTTTGTGTTTTTTTTTTTTGCTGTGATAATGTAGAAAATCAATATGTACTCTCCAAATGTTTTGCAAAGTCAAGCATTGATGCCAGTTTCATGGCCCCAATTGTGGCGTTAAAAAAAAAATAGTTTTAAATATACATTTGTACACGGAAATAGATTTAAAATCAACAAAGGACTTCTGAGATACTATATATATTTACTACTAAGTTACTACTAAGATACTAAGATATATTTTATTCAGTTGTTTCCAATATTTTTAAGGCTTTAACACAATGGGAAAGCTATGTATCTTCGCGCAGAAGTTATTAAACCGTTGCACTTATGTGACAGTTTATCTTTCAGTTTTATTACAAGGGATATCGGGTATCGAATATCAACCTAACCTTAGAAAAAACATTACTAAAATAATTTTCTATATAACAAAATGTTAAGCTTCAACTCAAAAAACAAAAAATTTGGGTCATATTCGATCGTTCAGTTATATGGCAGCTTAGGATAAGTCTTCTAATCCTTATAAAAATGAATAGACCGATCAATTGGTTCAATTGAATCCATTGAATCCATAGTTCCATTCATAGTTCCATCCGTTCCGACTTATGCAAGGGAAAGAAGGATTTACGCAAAGTTGGAAGTCGGCAGCTTTAAAACTTTAAATGTGATTCTGATCAAGAGATGTCGCCTTCACTGCGTTAACAAATATAAATATTAAGAACATATGGATATAAACAAGGAAATTACATTGCTTTCATGGGTTAAATGAGTCAATATACTATACCGGTTATTTTTAACGAACTTTTAATTAATGGTGCTTAATTCTGATTTTCGGCAATAGGATGAATTTCAACCCGCTGGTTTGGTTTTTCTGAATATTCTGCAGATCGCAGAGTAGTTTGGTTGTTTTTATTATTTTATTTTACTACATTAACTTTTCATATTAGAGTGACCAATTAGGAATTCACGATAAGTATTTAATTATTGAATCATAAAATATCGATACAGATATATTTTTATATATTTCTTACATCCCTAGTTTCAACATTCCGGTGTTTTGGTTTTGTTTGCAGCACACTTGTTCAATTATAGTTGTACGGTAAAATGACTGATTGGGTTCAAAAAGCCGAAGATCAAGAAGTATCCAAATTGGTAATGACAATGGCACTGTATTTTGAAAAAAAAATAATATTTTTATTTTAGGTTGACAAGCTTGAAATAAAATCTGATAATGGCACAAAACCAGCAGATGATAACGAGTGCGATACAGCCGAGTAAGCCTTTTTACGAAATTTTAGTTATTAACTCGAATTCAATGGTTTAAGAACATATTATTAATATTTTTGTTTCGGATAACATGTTTTAAAGTTAGTTAAAGCAATTCTGGTCTATTTCACTCTTCTTAAAAAAGAAAAGAACTTTTAAATAACAAGATTTGTTGATTCTAGCAAGAAATGTTTATTTTATATAGATGTTATGCATTGAAGGATTCATATTTATTCAGTAAACAGAATTTATTCTCGACCAGGATAACGAGATAAAGCCAAAACATATCGGTCTATTCCAAGCATTTACATATGGGCTATTCCTAGGGTCGCGAACGTACGTTCGTACGCGATTAGTGCCAATAAATTAAAGAAAAAAACATTTTCTGATACTTTTTATACCCTTGCAGAGAGTATTATAATTTTGCCCAAAAGTGTGCAACGCAGTGAAGGAGACATCTCCGACCCTATAAAGCAGTGGTCGGCACCCCAATACATTGATATGATTTTACCGCATTAGTGTTAGTAACGAATAGCAGAAAGTAGGCTGTGAGCATGACGTTTCACGCATTTATACTGTGTGTGTGTGGCAGAGCTCGGGCAGAGAAATTTCCTATGCCCCCGAGATAGGGCCGTGCCGACCTCTGCTATAAAGTATATATATTCTTGATCAGGATCACCTCCTGAGTTGATATGAGCATGTCCGTCTTTCTGTCTGTCCGTTTCTACGCGAACTTGTCTCTCAGTTTTAAAGCTATCGTCTTGAAACTTTGCACACACCCTTCTTTCCTTTGCACGCAGTATATAAGTCGGAACGGCCCGGATCGGCCGACTATATCCTAAAGCTGCCATATATGTAACTGCTAATATATGTATTGGAAATGGTATAACTTTGGTGTTTTTAGAGTAAGAGAGTTCAAATTTGACACGAGAGCTGGCAAAACATTACGACATGCCAAATTTCATAAGGATCGGTCGACTATATCTTATAGCTGCCATATGACTGAACGATCGAAAATGACCCAACTTTCTACTGAAACTTAGTACAGATTCTATTTTTGGTCAGTTGATCCAACCTATCAAATTTCATTATGATCGGCCGACTGTATCCTATAGCTGCCATATGAACGGCATGAACGATCGGAAATGGTATTTGATAGAAATATCAACTTTCGTATTTTTGAAGATAGAAGCTTGCGACTTTTTTTTTAGGTTTTTTATTTTAATTTATTGGTTTTATTATGATGTAATTATAAGGATCGGCCAACTATATCCGATGTTTGCGATATGTATCCGGTTTAAGCTGCAAGTTAGCTTTTAACCGAAGTTAGCTTTCCTTTCTTGTCTATTTTGTTTCCGATAGCATTTGGTGAGTTCTTTTCTTAGTGTAAATTATGGTTCGAATGGATTTTTCATTTTCATAATATTGGCCAAACACATGAGGTCGCAAACGTACGCGAAATGGAAGTGCGTTTTGGCATGCTCTAGCAAAATCAATAAATCTGCGAATTGAAATGGAATGTAATAACTTTAATTTTAAAATAGAAGCATGTAGCTTTCTATCGAGTCTATTCCCAATTAAATATCTCCATTAGTTTTTTTTTAATTAAATTAAGTACGGGTCGCTAACGTACGGTCGCAAACGTACGATTTTTCCGCATAAAAATTTTTTTTTTTTTACTTTGTTTTTATAAATAAATTTATACAAAATATATATATAATATATATATACATTATAAAAAATCATTAAAATAATAATTTAAATAATCATTAAAATTAAATTATAACTTTATTTTTAATTTTAATTTTAATTTAATTTAATTTCAATTTTCACTTCTTTTATCCATCTGCAAATAAATATAAGCTTTATAAACAAAAAAAAAATTTTTTTTTTATATAATAATTTTATTTTTTATACGTACGTCATACATACGGTCGCAAACGAACGCCACTTTAAAATACAATATAAAAAAAATTTTCTTGAAAAAGTCGGGATTTTTTTTAAATTTCAATAGTATACACTAAAATGACTTAACACATAAAATTTCATTCACCTGCTTTTACTTAATGCGAAGCAATTACAATAAAATTATGTTTGGGGTCGCGAACGTACGATTTTTTTACACGTACGTCATACATACGGTCGCAAACGTACTCCACTTTAAAATTCAATATATACAAAATTTTCATGAAAAAGTCATTTTTTTTTAAATTTCAATAGTTTACACTAAAATGACTTAACACATGAAGTTTCATCCACCTGCTTTCACTTAATGCGAAGCAATTACAATAAAATTATGTTTTGGGTCGCGAACGTACTATTAGAACATAGATAAGAATCAAAATACAAATTAAGAGGTAATTGAACGTTTTTTCCCTCTCTTTAAATTTATTGTTATTAAGGGGGGAAATACAATTAAAAATTTATTTTTTTCGAAAAATTTTTTTTTGTCTTAATGTACTCTAAATATATCTGAGAATAAGCCTTTAAAAGCATAAAGCTGTCCGGTACCTATTTTCAAAGTAATACGCAATTTAGTGAGTGCGTGTCAGTGGTAAACTTTAGTGAGTGGTAAACTTTAAACGCTTCTACTGAAAAGTCGTGTTTTCAAAGTCGCCGTGCAATGTACAGGTCAGAGATTTCATTTAAATCGAATGCGGAAATTCTCCACAACATGAATTAAAGGATTTTTCATATTTATTTGTTAAAACATGTTTTTTTGACGAACAAAGTCGAAAAAAAGTGTGTTTTTTTTAAACATTTTTTTCAATTTCAAATTTTTTCATGGAAAAACCATTTTTTTACATATGAAATAATTCATGTTGTGCGCTGTACCTCTAAGTTTAGTGCCCAGTTGCTGTTTTTTGTTTTAGACGTGATCCTGGGCCTGGAGACTGCACGGCGCAAAAGTTTATCCCCCAAAACACGACTCCACATTATTGATCATAAATGGGCTTAATTACAATATTTTTCGAAAAACTTGACTGATTTTTATTGCCCAATAATTTTCTAATAACATGCAAAAAGAATCGCTAAGATTCATTCAATTCCCTACTTGCATTTCACTCCCAAAGATTGGCCTCATTTTAGGCCTTTTAATTGTATTTCCCCCCTTAAAAGATTTAGTACAAAAAGAGCAAACACATCATATGTTTTCCTTGAAAAATAAATAACCATAAAAATGTCTTCAAAAGTAAAAAAAAGGTGAAAATAACATTTTTTGACTTTTCGGGCTTTTTTAAAAAAAAAAAAAGCTGAGATATGCTATGAATCCAATAGATTATGAAAATTTTGATATTTATGAATAAAAATACAAAAAAAGAATCGAGGAATATGGACATTTATTTTTTCGGTCCTGGTTGACCATCTGCCGGAACAGCCCATATTCATTATAAAAGATACAGAGTTGAGATTTTCCATAAAGTTTTATTCCAGTTTTTAAAAGCCTATTCCAGGCATTTACATATTCACTAGCTGACCGGGAAACGTTGTTTTGCCACCAGATGACTTTATAATTTCTGTACAAAATTTACTCAGTTCTAGACTTATCTACATATATATGTATATACAATTATTGTGTCACAGTTTTTGTTACCATCACTGGATTGCTAGACGCAGGATTGAATCAGATATAAATGCTCGATGTACCTGTTGTCGTTGTCGGTCCTTTGTTCTGCGTCTATTGACTATGAAACGGAGTGATTTTCGTTGTTCTAATCTTCTTATTTCTTCTAATCTTCTGCGTTCAGCTCGTGTATCTTCTGGCTTTTCTTAAAGCAATTGCGCTATTCTAACAGGTACAACAGTATTGCTGGATTGTTGCTGGATTTGTTCTTCACGGTATCACGGCTCAAATCATACCCTTTGCGTTTTCTTGGCATTGCTCAGTGTAAAAAACACTCATAAATAGAATTAATGTATTTACTTAATGATGAAGGATTTTTGCCCCAGGTTAAATTGAGTTAAAATGCTATGGTAGCGTGAGTTGTCAGTGGGATGAGGTAGTAACTCACTTGATATGCGATTTTTGGTATGTTGAACAGGATTTAAGAGGATGAAAAATAGATGTTGGCGGATTCTCAGACCTTCTCAATACGCTCACAAAATTTCATGAGAATCAGTATAGACGTTTCAAAGGAGTATGGTTACAAAAACTGTGACACGAAAATTTTATATATATAAATAGATTATGAAATATACATAGTTGAAATTTTGCATAAAGTTTTATTGCTTCCAGGAAGGTAGAGTTTTTGAATTTTTTGGATCGTTTGACAACCCGATCAACTCTCATTTTTTCAGTATATATAATAATATAACAATTGATCTTTATATATCCGGATCGATTTAGCACATTAGCCTAACGCGAGTGTACTGCCTAAGAAGAATATGTAAGTTCATTTTTGAATTATTCCGCTTCAGATTACTAGCTTGGAACATCCTCGATCGGCTCCAGACCAAGCCTTGGCCCGCGCTGGTGAATTAGAGCTTTTCACACAGACGGCAGACGAAATTCTATCTCTCGTAAAAGTTATACTCGCGAGAAAACAATTTTGTCTTCAAAAACCCGAAAGTTGAGTCATTTCCGATTGTTCAGTTATGGCAGCTATAGGATATAGTCGGCCGATCCCTATAAAATTTGGCATGTCGTATTATTTTGCCAAAAATAGCACTTATGCAAAATCCAATCCAAACTCCAAATCCTAACTCAAAAAACAACGTGCTAAACACCCCTGGTGGGGCTCCAGGATTACAAACCCAAAGGGCTCGGCCCTATACAGGCAGATTCAGTCCCGAATCTTGAGCTGTCACGCAACCGGTGCACCCACATACTGGCCTACGGATCCCCACAAAATCCCTGATGTGCTAGACTTCGCCATCTCCGGAGGACTGGATTCTGCCGGAATTCAAGCGAGAGAAGTAGAAGACCTCTTCTCGGACCACAGCGCCTTTGCCGTGTCACTTTTCACCCCAGCCTTGCTCAGGTCAGCCCGCAAAAAGCTGATCTACAAGACAACAGACGTTGACAAGTACCAATCCTACCTGAACAACGTTACCGACCCCAGCCCGACACTTGACTCCCCGGTTGACATCGACACCGTTGTAGAAGAGTTAACAGCCCATATTCAGGCGGCAGCTTCTGAAGCAGCACCAAGGCCCTCCAACCGCCCAAGAGCCACTGACAGGGACATCCATTTTTGGAGCCCAGAAGTCGAAGAACTCAAACTTGAAAAGCGACGACTCCGAAGAGTGTGGATGCTCTCAATGAATCCTTTGGACAAAACCGCCTTCAATAGAGCGACCAAATGTCTGACAGAAACTCTGGCAAGACTAAGGAAGCAGGCCTTTGACGGGTTCGTCGAACAACTCGAGCCAGGCGACCCTCAACATAACTTATGGCGAGTCACCAAATCTATCAGACAGCCGCTGAAAAGGATCCCACCTGTACAAAGAACCGACGGCAGCTGGTGCAGATCGGAGATGGACAGGGCCAACGCTTTCGCCGAACACCTCGAAGGTGTCTTTACGCCTTTCGATCGCTGCTCACCGGAGGATGCTGCTGAAACTGCCCGTCTGCTAGCCGAGCCTTCTAGGGACGCCGATCCAATACCACCAGTGACTGAGGAGGAAACAGCTGAGCTTATAACCATCATGAGCAACAACAAGGCCCCGGGCGATGATGGTATCAATGCAATTGCATTAAAAATGTTACCACCTCCAAGCATTCAGCTAATTACGAGGATCTATAATAGATGCTTGGAGATAGGGTACTTCCCGTCCACATGGAAACGTGCCCAGGTAACTATGATACCTAAGCCCGGGAAACCCGAAGCAAACCTTTCGTCCTACCGACCAATAAGTTTGTTACCAACGCTCTCCAAAATACTTGAACGAGTGTTTTTAAGCAGAGCACTGCCAGTATTTGACGAGGCTGGACTGATCCCTGACCACCAGTTTGGCTTCAGGCGGCGACACGGTACGCCAGAGCAGTGCCATCGGGTAGTGCAGTGCATCCTGGACGCGTTTGAAACCAAGAAGTACTGCATGGCCGTCATGCTGGACGTGAAGCAGGCGTTTGACCGAGTCTGGCATCCCGGTCTTCTATATAAATTAAAGACTGGCCTACCCCGACCATACTTCCAGTTCCTAAAGTCGTTCTTGGAAGACCGTAAATTTGCTGTTAGATGTGGCGAGGCCATCTCCGGTATTAGAGAAGCTCACGCTGGTGTACCCCAAGGCAGCGTTCTTGGCCCGTTGATGTACAATGCTTACACGGCCGACCTCCCTGTTCTTCAGAGGCCTGACCTGCTCGCAGCAACCTATGCAGACGACACCGCCTTCCTTACCACCGCCGATAGCGCATTGGGGGCAGCCGATACGATGCAATTGCAACTTGACTTGCTCAGCGACTGGCAAAAGCGATGGAACATTGCCGTCAATAACGAGAAGTCCACTGCCTCCACATTTTCTCTCTGCAAAGGCAACTGCCCTCCAGTTAACCTTAACGGCTCTCCAATCCCACAGGTAGACAATCCCAGGTACCTGGGATTCACCCTAGACAGGAGGCTCACCTGGAAGCCCCATCTGATTAAGAAGAGGAAACAGGCTATTCAAAGACTTCGATCCTTTAACTGGCTTATGGGTAGGAGATCGAAGCTGAGAACTTCCACTAAACTCCTCATTTACAAGGCAATAATACGCCCTATCTGGACGTACGGCATACAGCTCTGGGGAACTGCGAGCAAGACGAATGTCCGAACTATGCAAGCTTTTGAAAATAGAGTCCTTCGAATCGCCACTGGGGCCCACGTCTATCATGACAATCGCACTATCCACGAGGTTCTCAATTTCCCTTGGGTCAAGGACGAGATACAAAGAAGCAGCGCACGTTACATGCAGAGGCTTCATAATCACCCGAACCGGTTGGCCAGCTCCCTGCTGGACAGCAGCGAGCAACCCAGAAGACTTAAAAGGACACACCCGCTGGACCTCCCCTTACTACTCTAATTTTTTTTTTTCTACCATATTAATATTTAAAAATATCTATACGTGAAGTTTACGTGATAAAATTTAATGGTTGTCCCTAATGGACAGTTTTAAATAAACATTACCCTGCTATTACAAAAAAAAAAAAAAAAAAAAACGAAGTTACAGCATTTCCGATCAATCAGTTAAAGGACAGCTATAGGATAAGTCGGCCGATCTCAGCCATTCCGACTTATACATATACTGCGTGCAAAGGAGAAGAAGTTCAAAGAAGAAGTGTGCAAAGTTTCAAGACGATAGCTTTACAAGGATAAAACCCTATTTTGTTGGCCATAGCTTTAGTACAAATACATAACAACATCGTACAAATAGCACTCATGCAAAATTCTAACTCTCTAACTCAATATATCAACAATGTTACAGCATTTCCGATCAATCAATTGTATGGCAGCTATAGGATATAGTCGGCCGATCTCGGTCGCTCCGACTTATATACTTCGTGCAAAACAAAGTAGGGTGTGTGCAAAGTTTCAAGTCGATAGCTTTAAAACTGAGAGAGAAGTTTGCATAGAAACAGAGCGACGGACAGACGGTCGTGCTCATATCAACTCAGGAGGTGATCCTGATCAAGAATATATATACTTCATAGGGTCGGAGATGTCTCCTTCACTGTCTCATAATAATACCCTCTGCAAGGGTACAAAAAGTAACAAAACAAAAAGGTACAAAAAGTAACAAAACAAAAAAAGAGGAGTTCTGAGCTCGGCTCAAACCCAGAACCCTTCACACACCAGCCAACAGTACAAAAAGTAACAAAACAAAAAAAGAGGAGTTCTGAGCTCGGCTCAAACCCAGAACCCTTCACACACCAGCCAAAAAATCTACCGCTCCAATTTCAGAGACTGTTTCTGATGTATCATAAATACGGTAATATAATGATATAATTTGAAATATAAAAATCCGCTAGCCATGACAAAAAGTCTGTGTCCATTTTTTCTGATCGGAGATTTCTCCCTCATTGCGTTGCAAACTTTTGGACAAAATTATAATACCCTATGCAAGGGTATAATAAATAAGCAAGGAATAAATGAAATGTTTTCGAAAAACATTCTTCAGCATTTTATTTAATAAAAGGTTTTGCGGCCGCCTTTGTTTTCAAGCGCATGTGGAGGAAATTTAGAAATCGGGATCAGTCAAAGGGGCTTCATAGCGAGGACTCTGTGAGCTGCCCAATAAATTCAACGTGCACAACGTGCAACGTGCGGAAATTGGGATCAGTCAAAGGGGCATCATAGCGAGGACTCCGTGAGCTGTCAAAAAAATTTAACGCGCACATGCGGACCCACCGCTCAGCGAATTGCGGGATGTGTCCCAGGTGGCCAAGTGGTGCTACAGAATGGATGAACGGGATGAAGGCGGAGGCGACCATGGCAAAATTCCTGGAAGAGAGATGCGAGTTTTTGGATAGCGTCAATAAATAATTTTATTTTTTGGATCCCGTTTCTCCCGTTATCTCACGGCAAGTTCGACGCTTGAGTCCGAGGTTCCGTGGAGTCCCTTGTTGCGACGGATCTAATGACACGTCAAGACACTATGCAATGCGTAGGATAAAAACTTTCTGCGTGATTTTGAATTTGAATAAATTCAATTGATTTAATAAATGACAATCAAAAGGTGTTGCTTTAATTGTTTGGGTCAAAACAAAAAACTATTTTTTTGGGAGAAATTTGCGTAAAAGTAATGGAATTTTGATGCACTACAATTTCTTATTATGAAAAGCGTTCAAATATGCGTTGATTCAGAGCTTCTTAAGAGAAGCCCCAAAAATTTCTGGTTTTACTCCAATGAGTTCCGTTTCAAAACTGTTTTTATTTGATACAATTCTCTATAAAGAAAAATACATCTATATGTGCTAGGCTGCTGGGGATCAGTTTTAAGCCATGCTTTTTATCTCGTATTTCCATGGGTCCCAAACTCTATCTTTAGAATTCATTCTTGTATTATATTGTGTTCAATGCTTAATTAGGCCCTCCTCCCCTTTCAATTAGCCCATTAGTTAAGGATATTGAATCGTTGAAAAACTATTATTGTTTTTATGTATTTCTATATTTTAAATCGGATAGCCCTATCTTTAATTAAAAGTTAAAAGTCTTAGCCTGCTTGTATGGGAAATTGTATATACATTACATACATACATATATCGGTATATCTCCTCTAAAATCGGCCGATTTGGGCGAAATTTGTTTTTTAGATATATTAACTATAGAAATAGTTTGGCATCAAAAGTTTTTCAAAAAACGGGAGGGGGCGTGGTAAAATGTTGATACAAACTTGAACTGCTTGGGCATTGTAGGAATCTCCATGTCAAATTCTATAGACAGACGGACATGCTCATATCAACTCAGGAGGTGATCCTGATCAAGAACATATCTACTTTATAGGGTCGGAGATGTCTCCTTCACTGCGTTGCACACTTTTGGACAAAACTATAATACCCTCTGCGAGAGTATAAAAACTGACTAAACGTAAACGTAACATGTATGTTTTCCGTCGCTGCTTACGTTTGAAAACTCATCGATCTTTTGCACTCGTGTACTTTGTGAATCTAGGTATATCTTAGGAAACAAGACATCCGAATACGTTTTAATCTCGAGGACAGATCACCCAAAAAGAACACCCTTTCTCACCCAGAAGTATAATAATTACCCAACGGGTAAAAAAATATAAAATACTCACCAATTTTTCCCATATTTACTTCTAATTACTTAGTTTATTTTTATTTCTAGCCCTGCTGAAACAAGTTTACTAATTAAAATATTAGGCAAAGGATTGTCTAACACAAAGCTTTCGCTAGACATTCAACAAAAAAATCCGAATTCCCCATTGCATTCCGTTAAAACATTTGAAGCTCTTCATCTGTAAGTAAATTAAAATTCTATGCTATATGTAGCTGTAAAAATATTATCCTTTATTTTGATAGTTGAAAGTTTTTCACTTTTATTTTTATTAATAGTCTTAAAAATTGTACCCTTATAAATAATCTAGGTTAAATAATAATTTTTGACTATTTTTTGGTCAAACATAAGATAACGTTAATATTTTTTATATTTTCCTTATTGGGAGACAAACTCAGTTCATGTATTTGGAGGCACCCTTAGGCGATAAGGCATTAAGAATAAAAGTTTTTTTTTTTTTTTTTTTTATTTTAACGTTGCTTTTATTTCTTGAATCTTCTCTTTGCGAGACTAACAAGAGGTGTATCAAATCTTATATTTTTAACTTAACTAACAGTCATATTGACTGATACGGAGTTAGACGGCCCTAAAAATCGATTGCTGGGTTGGGAGGTCGTTGCGTCTAAGGCGGGATACGCTAGAAACCCGAGTCAATCCCCGAGCGAGAAAATTTGGGTGCGAAGACAGTTTTTCTTTGTATGACTCTTTTTGCTTCTGGATTTCGTCTTTCACTGCGAGGATGCCCAGATCCCGGTGGATGTTTTCGTTGCGAACATACCAAGGTGCCCCTGTGATAGTTCTCAGGATTTTTGATTGTGCGCGCTGTATGATGTCTATGTTGCTGCTGCTCGCGTTCCCCCACAGCTGGGAGCCATACGTCCAGATTGGCTTTAGGACTGAATTGTACAGTAGTAACTTGTAGTCTAGGCACAGTGGCGATCGTGAGTTTATGATCCAGTGGAGGCTGCTGGCTTTCAGTTTTAGATGCATCTTTTTGCATTCGATGTGCTTACGCCAGGTAAGTCGTCTATCAAGGTGAACGCCAAGGTACGTTACGTCGTTAGCTTGAGGGATCTGCATACCGTTTAGTAAAAGCGGAGGGCATGTTTGTCTATTAAGAGTAAACGTTATATGTTTACACTTTTGTTCGTTTATTTTAATGCGCCAGTCGGACAGCCACCTTTCCACTATTGTGAGATGATTAGCCAGTTGGGTTGTTGCCTGCGTTGGGCATCTGGAGCGACTAAGAATAGCGGTATCATCGGCGAACGTTGACGTTGTTAGTTGTGCGCTCGTAGGAATATCCGCAGTATACAAAACATATAGACACGGCCCGAGTGCGCTTCCCTGTGGAACTCCAGCTTCGATGGTGTAGTCGCCCGAAGTAGCTGCGTTGCATCTCACTGAGAATACCCTATTGAAGAGGTATGATTCCAGTAGCTTGTGGGTGTATGTTGGCAAATACGTTTTAATTTTGTGCATGAGTCCGATGAGCCAAACTCGGTCGAAAGCTTGAGATACGTCGAGGAAAATAGCGCTGTAGTATTCTCGTTGTTCGAGGGCTGAGCGTATTTCGGATGTTTATCTGTTCACTTGTTCGATGGTTCCATGGTTTCTTCGAAAGCCAAATTGGTGTGCCGGGATGATATTGCAAGCTTCCAAATGTGGTATTATGCGAGTTAACAAGCATTTTTCAAACAGTTTAGACAAACAAGATAGAAGGCTTATTGGTCTGTATGATGACGGAATTGTGTGGTCTTTTCCAGGCTTCGGTATCATTATAATAATGGATTTCTTCCTCTTTTTGGGAAATAGCCAAGATTAATGATTCCATTAAATAGTTTGCAGACGACCTCTATAGCGCATTTTGGAAGTTCGATCAGCATCTTTGGGGTCAATAGGTCACCACCGGGAGCCTTTTTTGGTTTTAGCCCTCTTATGACTTTTTCGATTTCGTTCGGCCGGAATGGAGGTGCGGCTGGCTGAGGGGAGGACTCTGGCTGAATTACTGGCAGGAGGAATGAATTTGAGGCTGGGTTTGGCTGGAAGACACTTTGGAGATGTGTGGCGAATGTTTCAGCTCGGTCTTCGTTGCTGCGAGCCCAGCATCCCGAAGAGTTTCTTATCGGGGTGGTCGTTTCAATTGGGGCACTAAGATTTGGGTGGGCCCTCCACAGGGGGTACTTTGTGCTTGTTGGCGAGAGATTCTGGATGTACCTCAGCTGTGCATTTTCTTCCTGTTGGTGAAGAGCCTGGTCGAGTGATCGGGTTGCTTCCTTAAGGCGTTGTTTTGAAGCTGGTGATCTGCTGTTTTGCCAATCACGACGCGTGCGCCTCTTTTCTCGCACGAGCTGTTCGATTTGCTGATTAGATTTGAAGTGTTTGTTTCGGTCTACTTCTTTCCTATGAGGAGTAGAGATTTTAGCTGCCGCAACGAGTACTTCTTCCAGGGCGCTCGTAGTGTAGTCGATGTCCGATTCCATGTTAAAATCCGGGGCGAGTTCTATGTGGGCACTCACGTACTTTTTGTATTTTAGCCAGTTTGTTTTTGTCGTCGTCAGACTGAAGGGGTGTTCGGTTATTTCTGGGCTTTGAAGAAGCGTTAGAAGCACAGGCGAGTGGTCTGATGATAAGTCCGAGACTGCTTTGGCACTTATTAGATTGCGAGGTATGTTTTTGTCACTGCAAAATCAATAAGGTCTGGGAGCTTTCGTGAGTCTGTTGGCCAGTATGTGGGACTTCCAGGGGAAACGTAGTCCAGTTTATTTTTCACATTTATAATTGCATTGTACAATTGTCTTCCTTTGGGAGTCACTAGACGTGATCCCCAGTGCGTATGTTTGGCGTTGTAGTCTCCTGCGGCTATAAATCGATCCCCAAGTGAATTGTAGAAGTCCATAAATTGTCCTTCCGAGATTGAGAAGCGAGGAGGGCAGTAAACGGCAGCAATTGAAAGGATTCCGTTGCTTGACTGAATTTGTATCGATGTGGCCTGCAAGAAGTTTGTTGCAAACCTTTTGTGAAAATGGTGTTTAATTCGTTCTCTGATTAGAATTCCAGTTCCGCCGTGGGCTTTCCCATCTGGATGATCTGTGCGGTAGATTGTGTAGCCTCTTATATGAAAGTTGTATTTGCTTGTAAGATGCGTTTCCACCAGTAGCATAACGTCAATATGGTTTTCGGTCAAGAATTGTGACAATTCTAGTTTATGCCGTGAGACACCATTGGCGTTCCACATTGATATTCGTAGCGCCTGCATAGATTATTTGGACTGTTGTGCTACGAGCAGCTGAATCACCATGTTCTGGTTTTGAACAAGCGTTTGCATGGTCGTTTTCATGAATGACATAAGCTCCATCATACTTTGTTGGAGGGTAAGCATCATAGTTTCCGTTTTGCTGTGTGGCTGTTCTGGGGCCTGTTGAGCGCTTTGAGAGTTAGGCTGAATTGGAATTTCCCTTCCAGATCGTAGAGCATCGGCATAGGAGAAGCCGTTGGTGGTGTTTAGTGGACCGAATGAGGATCTCGCAGCTTTGGCGAAGAAGACGTCTGGCGTGGTTTTTGACGAAACGTACGCATTGTGTGGATTTTGGTTGCGCGTTGCGGTCGCTTGACGCATGCGACTCTTTAACTCCTTATACACAATACATCCTCTATAGTTTGCCGTATGGCTGCCTCCGCAGTTTCCACATTTCTTCACGGTACTGTCCTTGTTTGTAGTGCAGCAAGCGGACTTGTGGGCGTCCCCGCAGACTACACAGACAGCCCGAAGTGTGCAGTAAGACCTTGTGTGTCCATACTCTTGACAATTAGTGCATTGCACTGGACCGTTACGTTTATGTGGCTCTTCAACAGTGATTTTCCGATGCAAAAGATATTGCAGGTTGTAGATTGGGTGGACTTCGTTCTTCTTCAGCGACCTGCTTTCAGGCTCGAGTTCGACCTTGAAGAGGGGTTGTGGCTTTTTATCTTTATTTAGAATGTTAATAACATTCTTGGCGGCGAAGCCCTTTTCTTTAAGGGCGGTTTTTATTTCCTCGGCGGTAACATCAGGTTCTATTCCCTTTACTACCACTTGTAGGCCCTTACTGCTTTTCAGCTGGTACGTGTAATAGTTTTTCTGTACAGTGTCCAGATATTTTGACACTATTCGGAAGTGCTCTTCAGTCTTGGTTTGCACCTTTGTTTCATGGATGTTCCCTTTGATAAGCGGAACAACATGAAAGTTATCACCGTTCCCGATCAACGACGCAATTTTGTTGACCAGGGCACTCGAGCTTTTTTCCCTAATATAGATTGGAGGGGGCTTGGGTTTTTTTGCGGTGTCTTGGGCTGGTTGGTTTTCCTCAGCCTCCGCCAGTAGGGCAAATCTGTTAGTAGTGGATCTGTCTGGTTCATTATCGTTATTCAGGACACGGTTAATTTTTGTTTTGTTGCCTGCCGGATTACTCTGCGGGCTAAGCTTGCGCTTAATTTGGATGTAGCGATCCATTCCAGTCTGTGTGGCCGTTGCCGCTTTGGCACTTTCCGAGGTTGTTGTTTTTGTACTCGCTGTAGTCGTTGACGTCGTGGTACTTTGAGTTGCAGGGGTTTTCGCTGTTGTTGCAGAAGTTGTAGCGCTGCTTGTTGTTGGTGCGAAATTTGTTTCCGATATTGGAGGGGGGGTTTTACACTGCGAACTCCATGACGCGGGAGTCGGAGTGAGCAGAGCGGGTGAGCAAGACCGTGCCCTTTGGGTTTCAGCGGTCAGTAAAGCCGGGTTGCTTTTAAGCGCCGATTTTTCCACTTCGGTATCGCGGGTTGAAAAGTAAGAGTAGAAGCCGTTTCTTTGGTTCACTGAACTTCTACGCTCCTTCTTTTGGTCGTTGCTCAATGAGCTCATTGCGTGGTACGTATTTTTTTTTTTCAACAATGCACTAGTTTTGGTTTAGCACATTACAACTGTTATAAAAAAAAAGCTTGTCTGTCGCTTTTAATAAATTGAATTTCAGTGTCTTTTCGCTTATATTGGCGAAAATATAAGCGAAGTGAAGTTTTCCCGGAGCTCGGACAAAGCACGTCCGCTCAGTTCGGTAGTTCGATTACGAATGAGGGTTTGAAAGTTCGAATTAGAGCCAAGAAAAGTTATGTGGTAGAGATCATTGTAGTCCTAACATAATACACTTAAGGGATCACGTTGAGCA